CGATGATATTCAGTCTTGATAAAGTCTGCACGGCAGACGAAACGCGTAGACCAGGAGCTTTGTATCATAATTTCATTGGCTCACTCCTACTCCAGCACGACCCTGATTTTGACTTACAGCTTCTGACTACCATCGCTGCCGATCAAGCCGACTAAGCTAGCCAACGATTTTTTGGCGGGTGCACCAGTGTGCTCCTCAAACCTGGTGGGCGGTCTGGCATAGAGGGTAAGTCCCAGCTTCAAGTCCCTATGCTACATCCCTAGCTTGACCGCACTCACCTGATGAGTTTAAGAGCTGCGTGTCCCTTCTGCCCCACCCCCCCTTTTTTTTCCTGTTCACATATATCTTTTATTTGTATTTTACTTATATCACCCAATTTTTAGGTGCTGCATGGTCTACATGTGTTCTAACTCCAGCGGAGGGGCCCCTCTCTGGAGTTACATTTTGAGTATTTATTTCCCTTGTTTTTTGGGGAGAAAGTCCCCTTCTTAATATTGGTGCATTTCTCATGTATGTTGATTGTGATATGTCCGATTAGGTATATTGAGTTTTCTATATAGAAGGTCACTGCGAGAGATTGTAATTTGTTGTACTCCTTGCAACTATTTGGAAGACAACTCTGCAATTCTGTTACCTGTTGATTTTACAACCTGCTACTTTTTATACATTCTTATACATTGTTATTTCTGTTTGAATCTTTATACTTTAAATAAAAGGCATATTATGGTTTACTCAATTTAGGTCAACGGACCATGTTGTCGCTGTTTCATTATATTTTGGCAGGGACTTTATAGCTCCTTGACATTAGTTTCAGGGGTTTGGTTTTCTTATCTTCATCATATTAACTCTTGTTGTGCTGGAGTAGTTGTAATTTATTTTGTTATTTACATTATTGGAGCGCTCACACTATCTTATCTTTGAATTTTTATTACATTAGTCGCTCATTCCAGTTGTGGAGCAGCCCACCCTATTGAGAGTGATACTGTATGTATTTTATATTTCTATTTTTATTATATTTTTCCAGCGTTAGACCATCACCTATTATTTGATCCCCTTGTCAAAGTCACTCAGATCTACTTGCTTGCCAATTTTTCCTGCTTCCAACAAAAGAAAGAAAGTTGAGAACTGACTGGTCACTTGCTGCCTAATATATCCCACCACTTCACAATATAAGCAATGTTATTTACATCATCTGTCAGTGGTTTTAATGTTCTGGCTGATCAATGTATGTGCCTTAGTTTCTGGGATAGGGCTACCATTAGAGAGGAGAAAGTGGCTTACTATGGTGAGATAGGAGCAGTATTGTGAGGGATATGGTCAACATTATGAAGATAGAGGCAGTATTGGGGACAGGGGAATCATTGTGGGAATAGGTGCTTTACCTTTGGGGGGCCAGTATTGTAGGGCCACCAACAATACTCAGCATATGGATGGATATATAAAAAAATATAAAAGGCAGACAATAGTGCTCACTGTATATACTGTTAATAGAGCAGTAGATTGTTCGGGTTTTAGCACTTGGGTGGTATAACCCTCACCAACATCCTCCAAGGGATAATCCTTCGTATCTGGTAAGTACTTGCCAATATTAACATTCCAGGAACAATAAAAAACTTAAAGAACTTAAAAGCATAAGATGGTCACACACATAAAATAAGTGAGTGCCAAATATACTTTAATTCTAAAAACAAATATTAAAACAACACAATGCTTTTCGCCAACTGGTGGGCTTTTTCAAGTGTAAACAGTCTGAGCCTGGCACTTTAGAATATATATAGGGTGTTTACTAATTCAAATTGGACAATTTGGCACCAAACTGACATCATACGTGACATTTGGCCTCAACTGAGGTCACATGGTAGGTGCAGAGATTAACATATATGTATTTGCTTTAATAACTTCCAAAAAGGAAAATACATAATTTATCTAGTATATACATACTTTACATACATCTAGACAGTAGAGTGCAAAGTGGGTTTTGTTTGTTTTAAAACAAGTCACATGACCTCCAGGAACACATCATGGGAAACTTTAAGGAAACACTTAAAAATAAGTATAAAATAATATTCAGATAGCACTTGGTAATGAGCCTCAGGGTGGAGTTGATATAAGGCAAAACAAGAAGTTAATAAGCGTATACATTGCCTGTATCGGTGAGAACGAATGCTGAACATCCAGGCAGATCTGGAAGTTCGTGGCTGCCATTTTTGTATCAGGCAGTGGACGAAAAATGTCTTAAGTGATATGGGACAAATCTATTAAGAGCTCGGTACCTTGCCAGTACCAGGTAGAGGTGTATTTGAGCAAATAGAAGCTCCAAGTTGAGTAATAAAGGGGGAAAGAGATGGATAGTATAATGATCTATAATATACAGCATGAATATATTAATAACATAGGCAAAAACAAGAGGTAATGGATAATATGATAGAATAGTTACACAATGATAATATAAAAATAAAAAAATGAAATATAATAAAAAAAATAGGGGAAAATGTCAATAAAAAATGAAACATAAGGATATTAATAAACACATAAGGGAAGGTATATATAAATAAATAAATAAACACAATAAGTAAACATAAGAATATAAAGTAGGGATATTGCTAGTGGGTAATTATGACTGGGGAGGAGAGGGAACATTAGAAAATAAAGCATATATAGAGTCTATATAAAATATATAAAATATAAAATGATAAAAAAAAATATGTAAATCAAACTTGGTGTTTAGTCCATATGGGTCTAAGGTTTTTAAATGGTATACCGAGTTCATTTCATTCTTACCTTTTTAATATTACCCCTTCTCCAAGGTAATTAACATTTCTGGATGCCTATCACTTTTAAAAATCTAGCATTATTTTTACTATGAATTTGAAAATGTTTGGACACACTGTGAATTTTAAAACCTTTACTGATACTTCTACAGTTTTCTGCCAATCTAACTGTCAGAGATCTTGTTGTCATATCTATGCATTGGAGGCCACAGGGGAACTCCAATAGGTAGACAATATTTTTAGTGTTACATTTAATTAAATATGTTATTTAGAATTTTTTCTTGGTTTAATTTGAAATTAATTTGCTTGTTTTATTTGTTGTGGGCTCTGTGAATTTTCATACAATGCACTTTTTGCATTTATAAAAACCTGTAGTAGACCTCCCATATCACTTAGGAGGTTTTTCATCCACTACCTAATTCCAATATGGTATCTGTAAACTTCTAGTTCCATCTGGAAGCTCGACATTCTCCCTCGCTGATTCAGGAGATGTATAAACTTATTAACACCTCGTTTTGCCTTTTATCAACTCCACCCAGAGGCTCATTACCAAGAGCTATCTGGATATTGTTTTATGCCAATTTTTAAGTGTTTCCCTAAAGGTTACCATTATGTGTTACTGGAGGTCATGTTACCTGTTTTAAAACATATAAAACCCACTTTGCACACTACTAAGATGTCTGTTAAGTATGTATATACTGTATAAATTATGTTTTTTTTTTCCTTTTTGGAAGTTATTAAAGTAAATATATTCATTCTAACCTCTGCACTCACCATGTGACCTTAGTTGAGGTCAAAGGTCACATATGACATCATTTTGGTGGCAAATTGTCCAATTTGAATTAGCAAACACCCTATATATATCCTAAAGTGCCAGACTCAGACTGTTTACAGTTACAAAAGCCACCAGTTGGCAAAAATTATTGTTTGGTTTTAATATTTGTTTTTAACATTAAAGTATATTTGGCACTCACTTACTTTATGTGTCTGACCATTTACTACACTTTTTTATACTTTTAAGTTCTTTTAATTTTTTGTTGTTCCTTGCATGCCAATATTGGCAATATCTTACCTGGCACAAATATCCTGGTGAGAATTATCCCTTGGTGGATCTACCCATCATTACATCCTTGATGGGGACTATACCACCCAAGTGCTAATACCCAAGCGGTTTATTAAATATGAGTAGATTATTTTTATATTTTTTTTATGTATTTTTGCATCTAATACAGGGAGCACTAATTCATCAGTCATAACAAATTACAGTGTGCACTAGCACTAATCCATCAGTGGGGATTGTACCGCTGTATGCCGTTTCACTCAGAACTGGTTTTATAGCTCTATCAAATGTGAGTGCTATACCACATATGTTGCTGTTGTGTGTTCGGCACCTAGCAGTAAATGTCACCTTTAACCTGGAATCGACACAAAAAATTGCTTTAAGTTAATGAAACAAGACAAGAGCAAGGTCATTGATAATGACTTTTCTCCATACTATGCACATACATTATCACATTTCTTTTTCCATCTGGTATCTGGAAAATAGGTTGAAAAAAGCTGGTAAATAAAATTGTTGGAGGCTACACCTGTGCTAAGAACTCTGTCCCATACATTGTATCCCTGTACTCTGGCTACCATTTTTGTGGAGGTACTCTGATTAACAGTCTGTGGGTAGTGTCTGCTGCTCACTGCTACAAGGCGTAAGTACAATCATTCAATCCTATACTCTGCAAGGACACAGGGGGCTCATGTGGGGCTTAAAATATGTGAGGTATGTGTCTAAATAGCAAAATTCATCTGAACTCATTCTCAAAAAAAAAAATAAGATTAAATTGTGAAATTGTTGGTAATTCATCGCTGGGAGATTGGAGTACAGAGCACATGATATTTTCTGTGTTGTTTATTTTCAATTTTATATGTTCTTGTCATTAAATTAATAGTTGCTGAATTCCGTTTCAAAAGTCAATAAAGAAAAAACAACAATATGTTTTAAAAGCAAAAGACTCAGCCATTATATTAATATATGGGCAGCTAACCCAAGGCTCCCTTTAGTATGGGCACCTACAATACTTTTTTTGCTGACTCATCTACCATTCTCCATACAGAAGCGTTCAGGTCAGACTGGGAGAGCATAACATTGGCGTGAGTGAGGGCACTGAGCAGTTCATCAGCTCTTCCAGGGTCATCAGACATGGTAGCTATAACTCCTGGACCCTGGACAATGACATCATGTTGATCAAGCTGGCCTCTCCTGCCACCTTCAATTCCTACGTGAATGCTGTGGCTCTACCCTCTGGCTGTTCCGCCGCTGGTACTAGCTGTCTGATTGCTGGATGGGGAAATACACTCAGCAGTGGATGTAAGTCAAAAGTTAATTTTCTTTTAAATAACTACATTTGAAACTTAGATACAGTAAATGTACTGTCACAAAGAGGTTAGGGTCTTAATAATGTGAAAGGTGCAAATTGGTATCCTCTCAGCTGCAAAACAAGTGGATGACTTTAATAACAGATAGAAGCCAAAAGCAAATTCACCCTGACCACATTAAATATGAATAGTAACCTTAAATACTTAATTCTTATGATACCCTTACACCTATCTTGTGTTATTGCATTCCTTTACATAAATTGTTACCTTTAATGGAATGCATCCCTCATGAACATGTGACCCTAAAATATGAAGTCATGAACTCTTTCTTTGAAAAATGCTTTTAGCCCTAACTTTATTGGTTCAATTAATATAAGTGAATGTTTCTATTCTATCACTTCTTCCCCTTCAATTCACTAAGGCTTAGATAGATAGATAGTTAGCTAGTCAGTTTGTAAAGTGAATCTCCTTAAATCTGTAATCTTAAAGGCTTATTACACGTTTTGCAACAGGAACACAATTTCACAGCAGAATATTGCTCTGTTTTTTTAATCACACAGTTTTCTTTCATCTATAACGTGTTTTTTGTAGCCAATTACCCAGATGAGCTTCATAGCACTGTGACGGAAACCTGTAATGAAAAATAAAGAAATACATAAATAAAACTAAACTTCTAGCAGTATTATAATTGTATAAAAGAATAATTAAAGATATGACAGAACTACATTGAAGCAAATTATCTTATTACATGTAGTATTGATCTCACTGCAGACTATTGCACTGTTTTATTTTTAAGACAGTTCACTTTAATCTGCTATCTGTTTTTTTTTTTTTGCAGCCAATTACCCTAATGATCTGCAGTGCCTGAATGCCCCCATCCTGACTGATAGCCAGTGCAGTAACGCCTACCCTGGAGAGATCACCAGCAACATGATCTGTGTTGGATACATTAAAGGTGGCAAGGATTCCTGCCAGGTAGGTTATCCTGATCGTTCTCTTATTTTGGGACATTTTCGCTAGCTTACACTATGCTTTTCATGAATCGCAATTCTCATTAAAAGCTTTAAAAAGTAGCTGCTACTTAGTACTCAGAATAAATAGTATTTACAAGCAATAGGTTATTGCTACATTTTCTTCTATTCGGTTAGTAATGATATGTGAAGTTAATAAGGAGAATGGTAAATAAAGTGAATAATAGCATATTAGGGAAATAACACTATATGTATGGCTATGTGTTGTAATTCTGTGTAAGTCAAAAAGATCATATGGTAGGAAATAACTGGACTTGTGTACAATTCCCTTCCTCCTACACTGAGTGAATAAAATGCCTGTCAATTTATGGACAAATTAATTGGTTCATTCTTTTTTCATTAGCAATTCGATTAATTCATCCTTATGTTCACAGGTCTGTGATCTGTGCACAAGTCTAGATATAACATATAAGATGAATAAAGATGCATAAGAGGAAATTAAGCAAATGGTGGTGAAATTTAGCAAGTGGCATGAGATTAGGCAAATTGTGGTTGAAATAAAGCAAGCATATAAAAATAATAAGTCTGATTCATACTACATAAAAAGTAATCACAGTCCAATCCACTACACTTCAAATATTACACTTCACAGAGGGAAAATATTTAATACATACAGTTTAGAACTGTGGATAGTATAACAGATACAGCAACATATAATTAAATATACTAATTTTGAAATATGGCAGAGGTTTTTTGCAAATTGGAGCAAAACTTACTTTTGGGAAAACATTACATGGTTTATTCACTAAAGGAATTAACTCAAAAGAGATTCAAAGAGGATTTACATTTTTAGATCACAATAACAAAATTAGAAGTATAGTGGACATGAGGAATTTAAAAATTTTCAGCTATTTTGGACTTAAATCTAAAATCCCATTTGAGTTCCTGACAATTCTTACATTAGTAAATAACCCTGTCGGAATTCTTAAAAATTAAGAAATGACCTGCAAAACTGCTGAATTTGAAGAAAATATTTCCAAATCAGTCAGAGATTTATTGTTTGATGGATATATTATTTATTTTTCAACTCAGCTTTGTTTTTCCCGTAAATGTCAGTAAAATATATTAACCCCTTCACTACCAAGCACCTTTTGATTGAAAGAAATATAAGCATATCATGTATTTAAAGCAAGGGATGAATAGCTAGCATTTGAACATATACTTAAAACAGCAATTTTGTGTATTATTATACATTATTTTCCAGACAAACTTTAAAAAAAACTTAAAAAATATATATTTTATACAAATCACTGGAGCGCTAAATTAATGCTAACTGTGAAATGACAGAGCTCATTCACTGCTTCCCTTCCCCCCCGCCCTTCAACTCTATGAATGGTATGACCCATTGAAACTCCCTTTACTGTTTGAAAGCAGGAGGTGAGCTTACATTTTCAGCACATTTCCAGGTATTAAATCAATGACTATTGGCTTACGGCAGATAAATCAGTCCCTTTAGTAATCAGCCATAGGGTATAAATGAGGGATACTAAATTTTGTTTTGCAAAATACATGAAAGTAAAAAAATGTATATTCGATTATGGGAGTGAAGTCATTAATTGATTTTACTATGTGATTCAGTTAACCTGGTACTCTGCTGTTGGACTGATTCATCAAACGTGCAAATTTCCTTACTAAGGAATTTGGCAAAACCCATACATCACCCAGTTTTGTTTTTCTATGGAAGTCATGTAGGCTCATTCAATGAATAAAACTTGCTTGTAGTATTATTTCATATATTTTGTTCTTATGATTATTTAAATTTTTAATGTTTTCTTAATTATGGCTAATTTTCAAACACATATTGAATCATTAATAATTTTTCTACTGAATGGAATTAACATTGATAAGTTTAGATTTTATAGCACGCTATGCTACCATAGACTATTGAAGTAAAGTTGGTCGATGCAAAACTAATCATTTCCATCTTCCTTCAGGGTGATTCTGGTGGCCCCGTGGTTTGTAACGGTCAGCTCCAGGGCGTTGTGTCCTGGGGATATGGCTGTGCTCAGAGGAACTATCCTGGAGTCTACTCCAAGGTCTGTAACTTCAATTCCTGGATCCAGAGCACCGTTGCGGCTAATTAAAATCCCTTGTGAAATATGCGTGTTTCTCTTCACAGTTAATATTTTTTTTTAACATTCTTCTTCTTGACCCAAACCTATTTAGTGTATTTTAATAAACAATATTAAAACAAACTTTAGTTTACATTAATATTATCATTGTGTACCATTCAATTTTAGTAACAATAGATCTGCATAATGATATAATTCTTCTATCATATATAATTTAAGACTCTCCTGAAAGTTTGCTATCATATTTAAAAATATACTAACATTCAACTTTAACTCAATTCACCTCATTATAACAATTTTCCATTGACACCAGAGTAATCTACAACTCACGGTATCTGCTTAGTGCCTTAGTACTTAAAGGGACACTATAGGCACCCAGATAACTTAATTTCATTGAAGTGGTCTGGGTGCACTGTCCCTATCCTCTTAACCCTGCAATGTAAAATATTACAGTTTTAGATGAAGTACAATGTTTACATTGCAGGGCTAAGTCTGCCTCTAGTGACTTCCTACCAGACAGCCACTAAAAGCGCTTGCGGCAGTTTCACAGAGTTTCACTTCATGACACATCACTGGACATCCTCATGCTTATACCCTTTTTGACTACATTTGCGCAATTAAATTCTATATCTTTGTTAAAAAATGGTCTGTTTCTAGTTTTGTGACTTGTTTTTTTTATGTGTCTGCTCTTCTATCTTTCTTGTCAATTATTTAACAATAACATTGTGTCTTATGTAATGCAAAAAAATGTTGTGCAATAAAATATAATATTATGTGCTCTCAAGTGGTTCAAATACTAATTACACAATACACAGTAAGGATATATAATATGCTTGCACCAAATTCCTAAGATATGTCCAGAAGATCTATAAAGAAAAAAAAGAAGGAACAGTCCTAGTGCAATATTGTTGGAACAATACAAACTAAAATAAATTACCGAATGATGGATTTAGTTATATTTTAGTACAAGCCCATCTTTTTCTTTAAACTCTCTTTACTAGCTGCAGAGCAGCAAAGAAAACACATAGAAGAAAGAACCAAACAAAGTGTAGCAAGTTGTACACAAGGGATAGTGACCTAAGCACCTCCTCTTTCTTTGCTATTCCATCAGCAAGCAGGTCAGAGTTTTTGGCTTTTCCCATTATTCTAACTTACTTATTGTTGTACTTACACTTGCGTGTTCCTGCTATATTTGTTACTACCTGGGTTTTAAACCTTAGTATACTGCTGTATACTGTGTTCTTATTCTGCTCTGCCTGCTCCTCAAATCTGCCTTACACTTGCCTGTGTGCTTTCTGGCTCTCCTGCTTTCCCTGGACCCATCTGGTTCACCTGTGGGGTTTTCTCTTTTCGAGGCTCCTTTCTAGCATTTCCCTTCGGTTCACCATTTTTTCCCACTGAGTTACCTCTGGAGCCAGGTCTAGATGTCGACTTTTTCCACTGTACTGCTCTCATTCAGCAGAGGCCAGCTTGTGGCTCCTCATGGCCTTTGTTAGTGGCAGCCATCTTGAATCTTGCATCTCAGTGGGTCAACTACAAGGAATGAACACAAATATTTTTACATATAGGGGATGTAGGAAACTTGTAACTTCAGGACATGTACATTTCAACCCAATTTGCAGCAAGGTCAGATGGCTTCTACTATGTACATATATTATACTATGTATAACATGTTTTTATGATCCATCAGTTTCATATCAGTCTAGTGTTTTGAAAATGATTTTAAAGGGATCCTATAGTGCCAGGAAAACAAACCTGTTTTCCTGGCACAATGGGTTTAATAGGTTCCCCCCTCCCTCGAGCTACTCCCCCAGTAACTTACCTGAATCCAGCGCCAATGTCCCTCGGCACTGGGTCAGGCTCCGCCCACCTCCTCCTTAGCCAGCATCAGTCGGTGGGGAGACCAAATGTGCATGCACTGCAATGGCCGCGCACGCATTAGAGCTCCCCAAAGAAAACCATCATTCACTGCTTTCCTACTGGGAAAATCTGACGATGGAGGTCCGTGAGGACGTCCAGCGTAAGATAAGGAAGCAAAGGTCCATTTGAATTCCGGAAGCCCTCTGTGGCTGTCTGGTGTGATGGAAGGCACTTTGACCCGAGGCTCAAGCTACAGATGACTGGATGTCCAGTCTGTTTTTACTTTCATGTTATGCTTTGAACTTTTAGTCTAGTTTCAGTGTCTGACAAGTAAGCATAAATTCTTTACTTGTGACATTCTTTGGTTTCTGTAGCTTCACCCTCAGTCCCCCTTCTTATGTCCTAACTTATGTCCTAAAGTTTTTATATATATATATATATATATATATATATATACATATATATATATATATATATATATATATATATATATATAAAACCACTGAAATATGCTTAGTTCTGTAAATTCCTTTTATGGTACAAAGTGACTTCAAGCATCCTGTTTTTGTTGTGCAAGTCACAAAGCTGTTTTACAAAGTACTATATAGTCTAAAAGCAAATCAATAAAAGAGGAAGTAATCTTTGAACTCACAAGTGTCAGGTGTTTCTGATTTGATTGCTTCACCGAGCGGCTCAAAGTCTAATTTGGTTTCACCTGAAAATATCTTTGGGTAACTTTTTATCCCTGTCACTGGTAGACAGCCACATAGGGCAAACTTAGAGCTGCAATGTTAACATTGCAGTTCTCTGGAACTGCAATGTTTTACATTGCAGCACTAAGTACAAAAAGGTCACAGCACCCAGACCACTTCAATGAGCTGAAGTGGTCTGGGTGCCTTCAGTGTCCTTTTAAAATCTGAATATTTGCTGCTTATTTCACTTTCTATAATATCATCACAATGAGCTTTGGAACACATATGGTTAATACACCTATGGCCATGTACAGGCATTAATAGTGCATTAGACAGCAGTGGATGACATATTATAGGGACCATCACACTTACACAGTGAGATGACCGTGCAATAAACACTACTCATTATGCCAAAGTCTCCATGGTAATAGATGTAGAAAACTAACTTGCCTGCAGCTTGGTAAATAAAGCAGGTGAGTCATGTGTTGCTCTGATAAAGTTAATGAATAATAATGGTTTTCCAGGGTTTTATTAATGGCTGGTGTAACCATACAATGACAGAAATGCCCTATAGCCACCGTTCTCCATTTAGAGTGCAGTCATAGATCTAGTTTATTTGTTATCATGTGTCTGATATCAAAGTGTATAAACTGATTCAAAAATATTTAACTGTGAAAATAAAATACAAATCCCATGGTTCGTCTGGATTAAGGTCTAAAATGTAAGGTTTAAGCTTCAATATATAAAATTATTTTAGTGCGCTCCGTAGCCTTCAGTGAGTAATTATCCTGTATTTCATTATGTTTGAATACATGTTCCTCTGTCGGTTAAAATCCCTGTTATTGATTCTTACAGAAGCAATGAAAAAAATATCGTTTGGAAGTACCCAGGATAGGAAATATTGTCAATTTCAATTTGTTCCAATTCGCATGTGTGTAGAAAAGTCTCCTGTAAGTGTCACTCTACATATTGGGCCAGGATCCTACGACAATGAGAAGGTGATAGCAACAAGATATCCCCAAAATATCAGAACCTGGTGCCATCTTTCTATCCATCTTTTTCTAGTCCTGGTTGGGTACCTGTAAATGTGTGTTTATTTTTGTCAAGGTATCAAAATAAATCCAGTTGCACTGTAGTCTGTGACTGTAGAAAATAAAAATCTAAGCCTAGGTTTTTCTGTAAGCTATTAAAGCACCTTTATAGCAGTGACTTGGTGTCCATTACCAGGTGATTCGTGTTGATTATAACAAAAGAGTTTTAAACATTTGCAGAAAAGACTGCAGATTCCACTTTTCATATTTCTGGAAATTAGTGGTGGATGTAGACCTCGCAAGCTGGGAATGCCTCTCTATAAAAAAAATATTTTAAGGCAACACTGTCATTTTCTTCTTTCAGTTTTCTTTTTATTATAGCCCTTGTATCTTAATGGTTATACTCTGCCCTCCCTTGCCATTTTCCTTTATTTGTATTTATTATTTTGTCTTACTTGTGCTAGATCTCTATACCTATGAGCGGCCATTTTGTTGTCCTCTGTCCATGATGTCGGCCGTTCACCTTTCTATAGGTAACATTTGACAGATGCATTGTGGGTAAATCACCTTAGCAACTGAAATGGAACTGTGCTTAAGCCCCATCCATTGCCAAGGGTCATGCTCCGCACAGGGAAATGCAGTCCCTATTTTTTCTTCTGTATAACCAAAATAACAGAGGTGAATTTAAAAAAATAAAAAACAAAAATAAAAATAAAATGCAATTTATTGCAGCTAAGCACGCTGTGGGATTTGTATCTGATTCCTAAAACCTTAAAATATCAATGCACTATTAGTGATCTGGTTTGACTACTGAGATGTGTATCTATTTTAATTACAAGCAATATTATTTTGTTCTGTGAGAGAGTTTATCTCTGTTTTAATGTTATAAGATCAAGCATTGTTTGTTTTTTGTGATGGTATAACACTTAAGCTTTTAATTTATACAGGCCTTGGACATCTTATTTGTATATAGTAAAATATTGAGATTTTAGTGTTGGTACACATAGTGTTTTTGTGAGTTTTTGTACTACATTTTTGTATGGTCATGTGGACTTCTCATAGACATGTAAAGAGGACAAATTGGTTTTAGACAGCTAGTTTTGGTGATACAATGGGTCAGAGAGGTTTTGGCAAATTAAGGATTACAATTACTAACATATAGAATGGGTGGCTGCTTAGTTAATTAAATTGAGCTCAATATTTTGGGGGAGACAGCTTGGGTGGGAGGCAAACTGTGAGTGGCAAACTCCGGAGATGTTGAGGTGTGTGGAAGAAAGGAGTGGTTTGGGTGGCACAACACTATGGTTAAAATATGGTGGTGGGGTATTTGGTGAATACATGGGCAGTATGCACATCTGACACTTTTCTCTATACAAAGAAATGTTCTTAAAAATAATACTGATTTTTTTTTTCTGATTACAGTATACAA